CGTAAAAGTATCACCACCCGCAAAAAAGGTGTAATGGTGTAGTGGCGGAGCACCCAGGCCAACACGCAAAAATGTGTACTGGTGTAGTCGTGTAAACCTACGCCATTCCACTCAGTGATGTAATGGTGTAGTGGTGTAGCGCGTACGCCTGTCGCATAATGATGTAACGGCGTAGTGGTGTGAAGCTTGCACCGTTCAACAAGGGGGCGTAATGATGCAGTGGTGTAGCGCGTACACCATGCTGTAAAACGGTGTAGTCGTTTTCCGGTGTAGCGCCTACACCGTGTAAGAACACGGTGTGATGGTGTAATGGTGCAGGTTTCTTGTATCATGTTCAGAGCGCCCCCACGCTTCGATGGAGCGTGTGCCATGATACCGGTGCTCGGAACAATGTCAGGTATAACTAACCGATGTGTGGGAACATGCGCAACATCCACGTATATGCTCTTCAACAAACAGATTTATTTCTTGATTCTCATTCTTTTCATGGAACACATACCTCTTGAATAGAATCCGTCAAGTGTGCGCACGGCGAATGTGAGCCTCACGATATCTTTCCCTTCTCTCTTTCTTCTGGGAGCTGTTGCATTCCACCACATGCCAATATTGTTTTGTTTGTTATTTACTCCGTTGGGGACTGTTCTGACGATGCGATTCTATATGATGATTGTTCCGCGGACCGTAATGCTGCCAATTCAAATCCTCCTACGGAAGCTGTTGGGGACCATCTTGGCAGCTTGAAATTTGCTGTGGTTGCGCTGCGAGCGGGAACGGCGCGGGTCGGCTGTCTGCCCTCTTCCCTCAGCGCGCCGCCGCCGCTGATGGCGCGTCGCAGCCTGCCGCGGACGGCCCGCCCAGAGCCGGCCGATGCCCCAGCGGTGGCCGCCGTGGCGCGGCCAGCGGAGCTGGCAGCCGCGGAAGCAGAGGACGCGGCGGCCTCGGGGACCTCCTCCAGATGGGCCGGCATGCTCAACAGCGACGAGGGCCCCCCGTGCCCGTCGATCTGGGCGGCCTCGGGCAGCGTTTCCCCACAGGGCGCGGGCAGGCACGCGCCCCACCTGGGTCCCTGGCTCCAGCGCCGCATGCTTGAGCCGAGTGTCGCAGCGAGCAGGGGTGCAGCACCCGAGCCTCGGCATGTTCAGTGGCCGTCTACGGATGGACCGCTATTGGAACCCCGAACAGACCCAATGTGCGCGACGCTGGGGCGAGGTGCGCCATGCGTGCCAAGCGCGCCGCGCGCGCCAGGTGCGACAGGCTTGGAGCCCAAGCGTGGCAGGCACACCTGGTGCGCCAGATGCGACCCGTGCTCCACGTGCGCCATGTGTGCCGCATGGGCTAGCCGCGCCAGGTGCGCCACGTTCGGGGCACGCGCAGAGTGTACCTGGTGCGCCCGCGCACGTTACAGCACGTTACAGCGCACGTTACAGCACACATGGTACGTCCACGTTGCTGAGAGCCAGTGCACAGTCGTGGCAGGGAGGCCATCATGGCGCCTGGTGGGCCCGCACACCAGGTAATATGCCAGCACCTCCGCCATCTGCCAAAACCGATGGGCAATGATCGCAGGGTGGCCGTGCATGGTCCAGATCTAGCCGCGAACTGTATTCGTATTCTGTTTCTTTAGAGACGGTGGCCTTGCGCACAGGAGGCAACATGATAACCCTACCGCCGCCCTTGTCAAAAAAAACATGCAGAGTGTTCGCAGAGTCCACGAGCATAACCCAAGATTCCGCCCGAACGTGTATTTTGCGAGTGTTCTTTGACAGGGATGGTGGGCGGGCCAGCGTTCCTGTGGAGCAGTGATACCCCCCCTGAAGGGAGAGAAGGGGGCTTGAAGAGGAAACGCCCTAAACCACTCACGCCCTAAAGGGCTGGTTGGATTTCTAGCGTGCCCACTACCAACGCACTCAACACTCACGACCATACTATCGCCTCTTCCCGCCGAGAGCCTTCACCTCAATTCCCCATGCGACTACTTTTTTAGTCACGGCCCGTTCTAGCACAGGCGCCAACTGCAGGTCGACTTGATCTCCGTTTGGCACCCAGCGCGCTCGCCACGCGTCGGGGCTGCCAACCGCCAACGTTGCTCCTCCAGACTCGCCTCCTTCCCTTTTTACTTCGTGCACGCCGCATGTGATTTATACATGCAATGGGGGACCGGGTTCAGGGCCACCCGGGCCAGGACAGAAAGAGGAGCAGGAGGAGCAGGAGGAGGAGGAGGAGGAGGAGGAGGAGGAGGAGGAGGAGGAGGAGGAGGAGGAGGAGGAGGAGGAGGAGGGGGGGGTCTGGGGCGCCCAGCGCACACGTCGGGAGCCCCACATCGACGCCGAGGGCGATCAGACCGCCGTCAAACGACCCACGGCAGCCTCGTCGGCGCCTCCAGCGGCCCACACTGCTTCCAAGACGCCCCGAGAGTGCTCCGGGAGGCTCTCCAGGACGGCCGCGGGAGCCCAACATCATAAAGGTTTTTTATGTTTTCGACGGTTTCTAGGGTTCGCGCCCTTTCGGGCTTCCGACGGCCAAAAACGGCTCAAGAGGTCCCCAACATCGCCCCAAGACCGTCCAAAAGACCCCAAAGAAGGCCCCACGACTTTCCACGAGTGCCCCAACACGGCCCAAGACGCACAGGAGACCGCCTAAGAGGGCCCCAAGAGAGCTCCAAGTGGGGCCCAAGAGAAGGAATCCGAGCTGGCGTTCCGCGCCCTCCGCCCCCTGAAAAGACTTCCGGACCCTCCCCCCAATAAGGTTCCGACGATTCCAAACCGTGCCCCCCAACAGCCCGCCATGAAGCCCCAGGAAGCACGGATGATTCACCCAAGAGGCCCGAAGAGATCCCAACACGCCCCAGGAGATTTGTAAGCTAAATGTTTTGAAATATGGCTCGAAGAGCCCCAAATCGTGCCCTTGGACATGCGAAGACACCCCAGGAACGCCCGAGATACCACGAACACATTTCCAGTTCCAGCCCAGCGACCTTCCCATGGGGTGAGTTCCAGGTGGTCTCTTCGATTCTTGCAGGTTCTCGGAATCTGGGGTGCTTTCCATGGGTCCCGCCTCGTCGAAGGCTTTCCCAAGGCGCTCACATCCTTCAAAATGGTCGCCTGAGGCGGGCGGCTGCCCTGCAGCCAATAAGGAAAATGAGGAGGAGGCGGAGGAGGAGGAAAGTATTGAAGAACGAGGAGGCGGGGAAGGCGAGAGGGGAGGGCACACACGAGTCAGGCTTGCAGGCAATTTACCGTGCACGCTGCCCACGCAGTCGCCGCTGCGTCTAGGCCTCCGTCTGGGGTATCTCCTCGGATAGACGAGGCGGGAAATGCGGCTGTCTGCGATGCATGAATTTAGTATTCTGGTGTGCGAGCGGTGTGCACGAGCGAAACTGACGCGAGAGGTGGCGTGCGCGATGGTTCCCGCGTCAGCAGCGATGCTGCTCTGAGTCTTGTACGTTTGGTTTGCGTTTGTATGCATGCCATCTTCTTAGACTTGAGATTGTGTTGGCTCGCGCCTCATCTTCTGTTTATCTTCTTATTACTCTTCCTCGTGTTCTTATTGATATTATTATTCGTCCTCTTCTTCTCCTCAGTGCTGTTATTACCTATTCCTGGTGGGGCGCGCGACCCTCGGACCCCCAGGTTTCTCCCATGACGGCCCAAGGGGGCCCTTGGTTAGCCCGAGCATTGCCCTGATTTCTTAGAGGGCCGTTATTGGGGGCTCAGGGCGGGACAAGCCGTGTTCAAAGCACATCTGTATGTCATTGCTTTCGAGACCTCTTCAGGGCCTCTTGGATGCCTGTTTGGATTCGCCGGAAACGTTGTCAGGAGGCACTCTTAGCCCTCTCCTGGGGCCCATTTTGTGAGGAGATCCCGGGAGATAGAGCTAGTTTGGAAATCTTCCCGCGAGCCCCTCTCCTGGGGCCCATTTTGTGAGATATCCCAAGCGATAGCGCCAGTTTGGGAATTTTCCGGCGGAGCCGCCGGATTCGAGGCATCCTGGGCCTTCCCCTGGGGCCGATTCTGTGAGGATGCTCCGAGCGATTATGCCAGTTTGGGAAATCTTCCGGCGGAGCCGCCAGATTCGCCGGATTCGCCGGAAATTGTGCAGGAAGCGCCGTTGTTGGCTTCATTTCCTCGCGCGCCAGGGTCAGAATGACGTGAGTTCTACAGAAACTGAGTCACATGAGGACGACTGAGGAGAAAGGAAGCTGATGAGAATGAGGAGGTCGAGGAGGAAAGAGACGACTGGGACAACGAGATGAAGCGTAGGCGAAGGATGAGCACTTCTAATGGAGTCCAAGACCCGGATACCAGGGCGCCCTAAGGGCGTGGAAAGGTTTGTCCGAGAACGCTGGAAGGACCAAGTTCGAAGGACCTGGAGAGCTTCGGGGCACGCGTATTGGGAAACGCTTAGAAGAGGCTTATCGGGACACGCTGCGAGGCCGGACAGCCTTCTCGGGGGATTTTTCACGGAAGCCAGAACGATCTCCAGGGCTACCCTGCGGCTCCGGCTTCTTAATCTGAAGCCCTCTTAGCTCTCTGCGAGCTATCCGGGAATCACAACGAGGGACTGGCCTAGGGACCCCGGGGCCGCGACCCCGACCACAAAAGGGGGTGCCGGGGGCCCGGCCGGCCCCTGCAAGGCCCCGATCGGCCTCCAGAGCGCCCAGACGGCCGTCAAGGCGGCTCAGGACGGCCTCCAGCGACCTCGGGCGGCTCTCTCGAGGCGTCTCGAACGGCGTCTCGAACGGCTCCCCCCGTTTTTCTTTTTTATGGATAACGTGCATTCTCAGGACATGCGCTTTCTTGTTTCAACATGGCCCAGGGCGACCCCAGAGGTCTCCCTACTTGCCCCCCCGCTCCCGAACGGCCCGCAAGAGGGCCACTGTGGCTCAAGGTGGGCCACCTCGGCCCGAGATCCCCGAGAGGGGCGGCGCGACCCCTGTTGGCCGCCTCGCTTCTCCTGCGGCCGCGCCTCGCCTCGCCCGCACCCCTCGCACCCGCGGCGGCATGGAGGCTCCCGAAGAGTCGTGCGCCGCCGCCGCGGCCCACGCCCCCGCGGGCTCCGCCGAGGCCGCGTGCGCCCGCGCCGCGGCCAGCGCCACCTCGCCTTCCGCGGAGGAGCTGCGGCGGGCGCTTGCCAGGGCAGTCGCAGATGCCTTCCAGAGCCTCCACCGCGCGCAGGATATCATTGAGCGGGAGCTGCCTGGCGCGCTGGCGTCGGCGCTCCACGCGCACGGCGCGCTCGAGCCCTGCGGTGGCGGCGCCGCCAGCCCCGAAGAGCTGGCGGCCGCCCGCGCGCACGCGTGCCACGAGGTGCCCGGCGGGGTGCCCGAGCGCTGCGAGGCGCACGGCGCGCGGCAGGGCGCCCAGGGCGCCGCCGGACCCCGGCGCAGCGGCGCCGGCCTCGGACCCGTGCGGCGGCAGGCCGTGTCGTGCGCCCTCACCCGGCAGGAGGTGCCCGGCGTGGTGCCGGAGTGCGGCGAGGCGCCCGGCTGGTCGCCGGGCGCTGCCGGGAGCACGGGGGGCGGCCCTGCCCGCGTCGGCGACCACGGCCAGGCAGCGGAGGGGCCCATGAGGTGGGCCCTGCAGGAGTGGCGCTCCCCCGGAGTGGTCTTCGACGACGCGCTCGAGGCTGAGCCGTCGCCAGATGGAAGCGAGCATCCCGCCCCTGACCGCAGGATCAGCTTGCAGAGCAGCTCGTCGCAGAGTAGTGCTCCGAGCCAGCCGCTGGCGCTCGCATCGGATAGCACTGCTCTACACCAGCGCGTGTTGCAGTTCAAGACGTTGGGGAAAGAGCACAGCCAGGCGATCATGGAGCTGTGGAAGCACCTTGTCAAGTCTCTGCAGGAGATTAGTGTCTCCGAGATCTCCCAGATTCACAGCGCGTGGACAGACGCCAAGACTCTCGGTATCATGTTGTTTGCTCCTCAAAGGCCAGTCGATCGATCGGCAGCAAATCTGTTTCACAGCACCACTGGCACCCTTCAAGATTTTGAAGGCAAGATACAGCATCACGGCACGAAGGGAGACAACATCAGGAGAGTCGTCAGCTCGATTCTGAACCATGTCTGTCACCCTTTCACCAGGCAGCGAATCGCATGGGATTTTATGGGCATGGCGCTCTGTCTACATGACGTGACGATGTTTCCCGCGGAAGTGTTTGAGCTGCCAGAGGAGTACTTGCGTTTCCGGTTTTACTACGAGTTCTTGGCTTGCGTCTTCTGGACCATTGACGTACCGATCAACTTCAGCACTGGGTACATCTCCATGGAGGCAGGGCTCGTTTCGATTCCTCTGGTTCGATTCGATTTCGATGGCTTCCGATTCCGGTTCGATTCGGCTTCGAAGTCCGATTTGGGCTCCGATTTCTCAATGGAGGCCTACTAACTTTCCGATTTCCACTGATTCGACCGCTCCCGACTCGGCTGCCGATTCTCGCCGATCCGATTCATTTCGATCGCCGATCCGACTCATCGATTCGATTCTGGGCTCTCTTGTGGAGGGCTTGCTCGAGATGCGGAAGGGCAAAGTGATGAAGCACTACGGGCGCACGTGGGCTACGCCAGACGTGGTCGTCACACTCCTCGACTGGATCTGCCTGCTCGCCAGCGTCAACAACTCTGGCTTCCTTCGCCTGGGCAAGGCCGCCTCCCGCACGATGCGCTCGCTGCGGCTCCTCCGGCTGCCGAGGCTGAGCGCCTCGCTGAACGAGGTGGCTGGGGCTGTCAGCTCCGAGGCCGTCATCACATTGGCAGGAGTCTTATGATGTTCCAACCTACTTCAGCCTTGACCACCAGAAAGAATTTGGAGCACCCAGAAATTATGTACCGAAACGGTGTCGAACGAGTATCGCCTCTCAGGGCCCGACACCTGAAAACCCTCCAGAAAAGTACCGGACTTGGAGGGTTTTCAGGTGTCGGGCCCTGAGAGGCGATACTCGTTCGACACCGTTTCGATATATTATTTCTGGGTGCTCGGAATCATTTCTGGGATGTGGTCCTTGAGCACAATGGGTCCAACATAACAGGAGTTGCGAAGTTGCTCTTGTTGCTGATCTTGGTGACACACTACGTGGCCTGCATGTGGTTCTGGTTGGCGGACACGTCCGACGAGAGAAGGACCTGGAAGACGAGGTTTCTGAGTCCGGGCGACTATTCTCAACCGTACGAGTATCTAACCGCGATGCACTGGGCGATCACTCAGTTCACGCCTGCATCAATGGAGGTGCATCCAATGAACGTTCAGGAGCGTCTCTTCACCTGCGTTGTGATCGTCGTGGCCATGGTGTTCTTTTCCTCGTTCGTGTCGAGTATCACACATGCGATGACCAATCTTCGTGCGATTCACGTGCGCAAGATAGAGCAGGAAATGTTCATGGCAAAATATTTCGGCGAGTTCCGGATTTCTCGGGAGTTGGCTTCGCGTTGCCGCCATTTCATTACACAGCACCAGAGGATGGCATCCAGACGCATAAAAGGAACGGACATCCCATTCAGTAACATCCTGCCCAAGTTCATCAATGAAGATCTACGTTGCGAGGCGCTCATACCGTTCCTTAAGTCGCATCCCTTCTTCGACTTCTACATGGTGATCTGCCCCGTGGGTATGCGGCAGATTTGTTGCAACGCCACAGAGGAAATCTCGATGCTCCCGCAGGAAGAGCTTTTCTGGAACGGCCAGCCTGTGAATCGGATGTTCTTCGTGCGGGTCGGGTCCGTGTCTTACACCGACGACAACACTGACATACCAACTTTGGAAGTGAAAGTTGGCCAGTGGGCCTGCGAGGAGACGCTGTGGTCCAAGGTGTCCCTGGTGTCCAGGCCGTTCACGGCTTCCACACTAGGCTGCGAAATGATCACAGTTTTGCCGTCGGAATTCCACATGGTCAGTAGGATGCACCCTTACCCTTTGAGGTTCTGCATTAGCTACGCGAAGCTATTCATCAATGCTTTCAATAATGCGAGTAAGAATCCAGCGTACCGGAACTTGCTTTTCAACGACAGTCGGGAGTGCACGAATTTAGTGTTCAATGCTTGTGTTGGCCTGGATGATCAGGGGAAGCTCAAGAAGCACTTCGGTACGAAACTCGGCCTTCTGCAGTCTACACTGCGGATCGCCGCGTTTGGGGAAGACGTGGCCAGTCAGTCTTCGCCTTCCGCGTCCGTCGCGCCTGGGTCTGGGTGATATCTCATTGAGATCGAGGCGGCATTTGAGCCGAGTGGGATCCTTCTGGGTGCGCCGAACAACTGCTTGCACCTAACATTTCACTTGCAACCATCCGTCTATGCAGCTGAAGATTGGGTGATGCTTCCTCGCTGGCACTGGGTACCAAGTTCCTTCTGCGACCTGGGCGGACGGTGCCTGCTTTAGAGAGGAGGACGAGGCGGAGGAGGAGGAGGTGGAGGTGGAGTAGAGGATGTTGGTTCGGGCAGGTCCAGTCGATCGCCCAGCTTTCTCAAGCGTTTGCTTCCTGCTTCCTGTTATTTAATCGCTTCGCTCATTCCGCCGGCCCTGGAGCCCTCTTTAGGGCCTCTTGGGGGCCTCTTGGGGACCTCTTGAGAGTCTCTTGGGGCTCCTTGGCTGTGTTTTGGGGGCCCCCAGGGCCTCTTGGGGGGCTTTTGGGGGCCTCTTGGGGCGGGAGGGGGGGTAGTCGATTGCGGCTCCCCCCTCGGAGGCCACGATCCTCCTGAGGGGTGTCGAAAAATGGCCCTCCCCTGGAGTGCTCTGGTGGCTTCTCCCGGGACCTTGCCGGGGTACTTTTCGTCCAGGGGCCCCCAGGGGCCGCTCCGCGCGCGCGAACTAGAAGTATTGTTAACCAGTTACCGGAGATCTTAGCACGCCTCTGGCCCGTTGGGCCGGCGAATTTCCCTGCTGCGCCCGCGTGCGAGCTGCTGCGCGAGCGACCTCACCGCCCCGGGCCATGGCCATGGCCTGGCACCTTTTGTGGGCATCCTGCCGCGGATCGAACCTTGCTCCTGCGACGGCTCAAGGCGGCTGCGCTCACACCCCGGCCTACCCAGGACAGCCAGTGCAGCAGAAGGAGGGAAGCGAAGGAGGAGAAGAGGAGGAGGAGGAGGAGGATGGTGATCAGTTTCTTTTTCATTGTTTTGCCGATCGGCGCGGGCTCTCGCCCCCCCCCCCCCCCCTGGAGTGGATCTTGGTTGTTTTTGACGCCTGTTTCGAGCAGGTGGAGTCTCCCCCCATAGGACGCACTGTTGCAAACAGCCGCGCTAAGCAGAGGTCCAGAGCCAGACCCCCCCCCTCCACACCCCGCCTCCCGCCCACTGTCGAAACGCCGAAAAAGAGAACGCCCACGTGGAGGGAAGCGTCCCGCAACACGCGCGGAGGTGGCCCTGCCGCAGGGCTGAAGGCCGCGGGCGTGGGTCTCCACGGGACTGCTGGGACACGTAGCCGCAGGCCGCGCTCGTCGCTTGCTCTTCTCCCCCCGATCCCTTCCTCCTCCCTGCTCCGTCCACTCTTCCCTTCCTCCCGCCTTTGAGTATCCTTTCTCTTCCCGCTTGTCGGGCCGCGCTGGTCGCGCCCCGCGCTCCCCTCCGCCAGAGCCACGCTGGCCAGGGATTGAGTCAACTTCGATAATGCGTCCTGGTAGTGTCTCGAAGGATCGAGCTACTCATGGGGCGCGACGCTCCGCGCGCTACAGCCTCGGCCCGAGTGCAGCTCTTGGGGTGCACAGTGCTGGCCTCCTCCTGCATGAGGCATTCGTTGAGGGATGCGCGTGCCACCATAAGAGCCCACGAGACGTGCGCAGGACGCTGCACACGTGTACAGCCCAGGGGCGAGTCTGCCTCTTCAGAAGATCGCTGCTCTCTTGCTGCGTGTTTCCCAGCTGCATGCTGTCACACTTGGGCAGGCTGGCTTGCCGACGAAGCCGAGCACAGTGATATGCCGACGGAGTAGTGACTTTCGTTTCCTTCTTGGATCGCCGCGGCACTTCGCCTGACGTGTTCGCTGCTGGTGCTCGAGATGATGCGGACGCTCAGTTTACGTGGCGTTGTGCGCATCACTGCCGTGTACCGGATGGCGTTGTGTGCCCCCACCGATTCTCGGAGGACTTGTCTCGCCATCGAAGATCCGCCAGGACGGAACAACAACCAATAATAAAAACACACATAGTGCCCCAACAGGGCCCAAGACGCGGCCTCAGAGGGCCCCAAGAGAGCTCCAAGAGGGGCCCAAGAGAAGGAATCCGAGCTGACGTTCCGAGCCCTCCTCCCCAGATGACTCCCGAGGCCGCCAACTGGCCCCCACGAGGCCTCCAAGAAACCCCCAAGATGCGCCGAGAGGCCAACAGGAGGGCGCAAATATGCTTCCCAAAGGCCCAAGAGGCTTCACACTTGCCTCCAAGACGCATCTGAGAAGTCTTTCGGGCCCTCCCCCCAACAAGGTACCGACGATTCCAGACCGTGCCCCCCAACAGCCCGCCATGAAGCCCCAGGAAGCACCGATGACCCACCCAAGAGGCCCAGAGAGACCCCAACACGCCCCAGGAGACCTGTATACTAAATGTTTTGAAGTATGGCCCCAAAAGCTCCAAATCGCGCCCTTGGACGTGCGAAGACACCCCAGTATCGCCCGAGATACCACGAACACACTTCCAGCTCCAGCCCAAGCGACCTTCCCATGGGGTGAGTTCCAGGTGGTCTGTTCGATTCTTGCAGGTTCTCAGAATCTGGGGTGCTTTCCATGGGCCCTGCCTCGTCGAAGGCTTTCCCAAAGCGCTCAAATTGTTCCAAATGGTCGCCTGAGGCGGGCGACTGCCCGACAGCCAATAAGGAAAATGAGGAGGAGGAGGAGGAAAGCATTGAAGATCGAGGAAGCGGGGAAGGGGAGAGGGGACGGCGCACACAAGTCAGGCTTTCAAGCAACTTTTCTCTTCCGCGCTGCCCACGCAGTCGACGTTGCGTCTAGGCTTCCGTCTGGAGTATCTCCTCGGCTAAACGAGGCGACAAATGCGCCTGTCTGCGATGCATGAGTTGAGTATTCTGGTGTGCGAGCCTTGTGCACGAGCGAAACTGACGCTAGAGGTGGCGTGCGCGATGTATCCCGCGTCAAAAGCGATGCTGCTCTGAGTCTTGTATGTTTGAATTTGAATGCATGCCATCTTCTTAGATTAGATATTGAGGTTGTGTTGGCTCGCGCCTCATCTGCTATTCATGTTCTTATTACTATTCCTCTTGTTTTTCTCCTTATTCTTCGTCTTCCTCTTCTCCTCCTCAGTGCTGTTATGAACTATTCCTGGTGGGGCGCGCGACCCTTGGACCCCCAGGTTTCTCCCATGACGGCCCACGGGGGCCCGTGGATGGCCCAGGCATTGCCCTGATTTCTTAAAGGGCCGTTATTGGTGCTCAGGGGGGCAAGCACGTGTTCAAAGCACATGTTTACTTAATGGTTTTGGAGACCTCTTGAGGGCCTCTTGGAGGTCTGTTCGCATTCGCTGGAAATGGTATCAGGAGGCACTCTTGGCCCCTCTCCTGGGTCCCATCGTGTGAAGATATCCCGAGCGATAGCGCCAGTTTAGGAGTCTTCCTGCGGAGCCGCCAGATTCGAGGCATTCTGGGCCTTCCCCTGGGGCAGTTTTGTGAGGATGCTCCGCGCGATTATGCCAGTTTGGGAATCTTCGGGCGGAGCCGCCAGATTGTCGGATTCGCCAGAAACGATGCAGGAAGCGCCGTTGCTGGCTTCATTTCTTCGCGCACCAGGGTCAGGATGACGTAAGTTCTTCAGAAACCGTTTCACATGAGGACGAATGAGGAGAAGGGAAGGATGATGATAATGAGATGGTCAAGGAGGAAAGAGACGACTGGGACTACGAGATGAAGCGCAGGCAAAGGATAAGCATAACGGGGTTGGGCGCAGGCGAACACGTCCATTTTCAGTACATGGATGTGGTGCATGCGTACCCAGGCTCATGCAAAAATAACTGCAGCACGTAAGCTTCGCATGAAATTGGCAAGAAGAGGAATACGAAGGTTGACCCGAGGAGGAGGAGGAGGAGGAGCAAGGAGATGGAGAAGCAGAGGGAAACGGAGAGACGGAGGATAATGAGTATCACCAGGGGGCTGCTGGGAGGGAGGTGCAACGGCGGGGTCGAGTTTGATCAGGTCAGTCTCATGGCAGTGTGTCCTTCGGGAGGGTATTGTGTCATCTCGCGCGCCCTCCCCACTCGAACTCGACTGTACGCCCTTGCCGCCGCCGCCCTCTCCGTCGCCGCCGTTGCCGCACACGTGCCCGCGCAGCGCGCCCGCGCAGCGCGCCCGCGCGCGCCCAGCCTATACGCCTCCCGAAGGCCGCGGGGCTCGGCCGCGAAGCCGAGGCGGCGGGCCGACGGCGCGGCGGCGCGGCGGCGCGGCCGCCGCAGCTCGAGGCGTCTCGCTTTCGCTTTTCGCGCGCGCGGGTGGGCGGCCTGCTGCCGACGTCGACCATCAAAGCGCCGGCTGCGGCGGCGGCGGCCGTGGCAGCGGTTGTGACGGCGGCGGCGACGACGGAACGCCGACGACGCCAACGACGATGCCAACGGCCGCTGCGACGACGGCGTCGGCGGCGAGGGCGGTGACGGCGACGGCGACCGTCGACGACGACGCGCGGCGGCGGGACAGGCGCCGCGTTGGTTGCAGACGGTTGCGGACCCCGAGCGTCTCGAGGGGGGTTCGAAGGAGGCCCCCTTTGCATGAGAGGACCCGCCCAATGTGTGCACCTGGCCCGTGTCGTGGTACCTGGAAGAGGCCCAGAGAGCATCGGTATCCAGCTGCTTGCGACAAGTCCCTGCACCGCTCTAGTCCAGCAGCCTCGGTGGCAACTGTTCGAACCGATCTGGACGATATTGATGACGATTACGATGAGTCGATACATATGATTAGGAGGGGATTGAAATAGCTGTAGCGGACGATGGGGGTGAGTAACATAATGGTGATTATTATGATTGTGTTGATCATGATGAGGATGATGATGAGGATGCCGAGGTTGACGATGATGACGAGGAGGACGAGGATGAGGACGAGGCCGAGGATTGTGATGGTGTTGTTGATGATGAAGATGATGGCGATGATGCTGATGCTGCTGCTGATGATGATGACGATGATGAGGATAACGATGATGATTATGCTGATGATGATAATGGTGATGATGATGATGATGATGATGATGATGATGATGATGCTGATGATGCTGATGATGATGATGATGATGCTGATGATGCTGATTATGATGATGCTGCTGATGATGATGAGGACCATGACCATAACCATATTGATATTAATAATGATACTGATGATGGTGAAGAGGATGATGAGGATGAGGATAAGGATGCGGATCACGAGGTCGGGTAAGAGGAGCTTGAGGAGCGGAAGAAGAGGAGAGCCGTCACTCGTGACACCTTTCGTCTTCGATCCCTGAGGAGCTCTCATGGACTTTATTTGTGCCATGTTGTGGCTGGCCTGGGCTCTTGCGGCGCAGTCTTGGGGGTCTCTGGGGGCCCTCTTGAGCTGTCTTGGGGCCTCCTGGGCGGTCTTGTGGCTCTCTTGGGCCGTCTGTGGCTCTCTTGGCCGTAGGTGGGGGCGTCCTCGGGCCATTGTGGGGCCATCTTGGCGCCACCTTGGGCCGTCGAGGGGCACTCTGGGGCCGCATGGGCTCCCTCTGGAGGCCCTCGACAGCTAACTTGGGGCTGTCTTGGATGTCTCTCGGGCCATCATGGGGTCCTCTTGGGCCAACTGGGTACTCGCGTGAGGGCCTCTTGTGGCCTGGAGGCTTCTTGGGCCACCGAGAAGGCGAGAATGGGGAACTCCTTCCAAAGCCAAGATGCATCATCAATGACTTTGGTTTCGTCGGGCCCAGTTGGGGGGGGGGCCAGTTGAGGTAATCTTGGGCCGCCTTGGGGCAATCGTGGGCGTCTTCGAGGCATCTTTGGCCATCTTGGCGGCCTTGGTTGCCTGCCTGGGCCGTCTCAGAAGCTCGGGATGCGGACCAATCGTTGTTGTAGTTTTACGTATTATGTATTGCTAGCGGTCGCGGCTCAGGGAGCCTCGGGAGAGGGGGGCGGTGGACGCGGGTAGACGTTAGGAGAGGGGGGGGGGCCTCTCGGGAATGCGCAAATCTTACCCTACCAGACAGCCCTTGGCATGCCCCTTTCACGCCTCAACGTGCAGACGGCCCGGTGGGGGATCCCCTCGTCTCCTCAGCAGGAGTCTGGGGCCCCGCATCTGACCGAGACTCGCGCGCTTACCTTCAACACGCCCGCTGCAGCATCACGGGGTACCCCGGCGGTGGTGGGCCGACACTCCTCGCCGGCGCTCACGGGTGTGCGCAGTCCTCGGTGCCTGGCACCGCGGATCGAGCCGCGCACCCACCGCATCGCGCACGCGGCGCCCCCGCGGGGGTCGGTGGCGAGCCCAGGCGGGAAGTCAGAGGGGGCGGGGGCTGTCTCAGAAGGCCCGGAAGGCCTCGGGCCTTCGGAGGAGTCTGCCGAGCCTGCTCTCAAATCGGGCGTGTCCCTCCACAGGAGGAAGACTCAAAAGCGGTCCAAATATAGGCTGGGGGCTATTTCCCTACCTAGGCTCTGCCTAGAAGGGTTCTTACTCTGTTGGCTTCAAGGGCCGGGCAGTGGAATGCGCCCCGGGCGGTTCCCCCGGTTGCGCTCGGCGCGCGGTTCCCCCAGTTGCACCTTCCCTACCTAGGCGCTGCCTAGAGGGTTAGCTTTAGCTTTAGCATTAGCATTAGCATTAGCTGTAGCTGTAGCTTTAGCTTTAGCTTAGCTTTAGCTTAGCTTTAGCTTAGCTTTAGCTTAGCTTTAGCTTAGCTTTAGCTTAAATTTAGCTTTAACTTTAGCTTAGCTTCAGCTTAGCTTCAGCTTAGCCTTAGCTTAGATTTAGCTCAGCTTTAGCTTAGCTTTAGCTTAGCTGTAGCTTAAACTTAGCTTAGCTTCAGCTTAGATTTAGCTTAGCTTCAGCTTAGCTGTAGCTTAGCTTTAGCTTTGCCTTAGCTCAGCTTTAGCTTATATTTAGCTTAGCTCCAGCTTAGCTCCAGTTTAGCTTAGCTTTAGCTTAGCTGTAGCTTAGCTCCAGCTTAGCTCCAGCTTAGCTTTGTCTTAGCTTTATCTTAGCTGTAGCTTAGCTTTAGCTTAGCTTTAGCTTAGCTTTAGCTTAGCTTTAGCTTAGCTTTAGCTTAGCTTTAGCTTAGCTGTATATAGGCTTTCGCTTAGCTTTAGCTTATAGTTAGCTTACCGTTAGCTCGGCTTTAGCTTAGCTGTAGCTTAGCTTTAGCTCAGCTGTAGCTTAGCTTTAGCTCAGCTGTAGCTTGGCGTTAGCTTAGCTGTATCTTAGCTTTAGCTTAGCTTTAGCTTAGCTTGACCGTTACTACTAATGCTGCTGTCCTAGGGGCTCCAACTCCTAGGTAGGGTCGCACTGGGATACTCTTTTGCTATGTTGGAATAGTTGCCCCCACATCCTGAGTGGGGTTCTTGGTTTCCTAGACCACCCTCGCCTTCTCCTTCTCCTTCTCCTTCTCCTCCTTCTCCGCTTCTTTCACCTATACCATACCATACCTGCCAGACCATACCAATACCATGCGCATCATACTATTACGTATTATACTATACCATACCCTACCCTACCATACCATTCGTGCCCCACCCACCCCTCCAGGGAGGCCCCGCCCGAGCGAGGAGGGTATCCCCAAACCATAATATTTACAAGGTTGCGTGCCCCTCCCACCCCATCCAGGGAGGTCCCGCCCGAGCGAGGAAGGTACCCCCAAACTATTTACAAGGTTTCGCGCCCCTCCCACCCCTCCAGGGAGGCCCCGCCCGAGCGAGGAGGGCATCCCCAAACCATACTATTTACAAGGTTGCGTGCCCCTCCCAGCCCTCCACGGAGGCCCCGCCCGAGCGAGGAGGGCATCCCCAAACCTTATTATTTCGAAGGTGTCGCGCCCCTCCCACCTCTCCAGGGGGGCCCCGCCCGAGCGAGGAGGGTATCCCCAAACCTTAATTATATAGAAGGTTTCGTGCCCCTCCCACCTCCCCAGGGAGGCCCCGCCCGAGCGAGGAGGGTATCCCCAAACCTTATTCTTTACAAGGTGTCGTGCCCCTCCCACCCCATCCAGGGAGGTCCCGCCCGAGCGAGGAGGGTATCCCCAAACCATACTATTTACAAGGTTGCGTGCCCCTCCCACCCCTCCAGAGACCCCGCCCGAGCGAGGAAGGTATCCCAAGCCAAACTATTTACAAGGTGTCGCGCCCCTCCCACCTCTCCAGGGAGACCCCGCCCGAGCGAGGAGGGTATCTCCAAACCATATGAGTTACAATGTTTCGTGCCCCTCCCACCTCCCCAGGGAGGCCCCGCCCGAGCGAGGAGGGTACCCCCAACCTTATTATTTAGAAGGTTTCGTGCCCCTCCCACCCCTCCAGGGAGGCCCCGCCCGAGCGAGGAGGGCATCCCCAAACCATACTATTTACAAGGTTGCGTGCCCCTCCCAGCCCTCCAGGGAGGCCCCGCCCGAGCGAGCAAGGTATCCCAAAACCATACTAGATATCAGGTTTCGTGCCCCTTCCAGCCCTCTAGGCAGGCCCCGCCCGAGCGAGGAGGGTATCCCCAAACTTTGTTTTTGAAGGTTTCGTTCCCCTCCCACCCCTCCAGGTGCATTCTGCCAAGCGCGGCCTCCTTTGACCGCGTCCTTCACATCCATCCTCCCCCCATGCTGATTCCCCTCCTCGCTTCCGTCGGCCCTTCCATGACAATTTATGGACATCATAGGCCTTCATCATTTGGCACTGCTTTTATGCCCTCGTGACCCCGCCAACCCCGTACCATCCTTATGTGGGGAACTCCGTTCGCATAATTTTGAGTATTTGCTTTCATAATTCCAAAACCTGCCTGTAGGGGACGTGCCCGACCTCAGCCTGCTCAGAGGACAGGGGCGGTCTCTCAGGAGGCTGGTGGGCCTCCGCGAAGCCACGCCGCCTCCCGAGAAGGCCTGCCCGCCCTGCCTTCTTACCTGCAAGCGGTAGCAAGTTAATTCTGGGTCTACCCGCCGACCCGCGATTTTGGGCCCGTGCCTCGTGGTATGTTCCTCCCCCTCCCCCTCCCCCTCCTCCTCCCCCTCCTCC